TGTCCCGCACGGCCACATGGCCCAAGCGCTTAGACCGTGTGTTGAAAAAGGTGTTTGCAACAGGTCATGAAGAGCAGTGGCGGGCTACTCAGGAGGCTGAGCTCTGAGGATCACAGTTCAAAGCCAGCCTGGGCAGGAAAGTCTGTGACATCTCTGATGAACCACTAAAAAGCTGGAAATAGACTTGTAGTTCAAGTGGTAGAGTACTTGAGCAAAAGAGCAAAAGAGCTCAGAGACAGCACCCAGGTCCTGGGTTCAAGCCCAGGGACTGCCCCCCTCCCCTGCAAAAAGTGGATGCTGCCCACGCGGAGCCGAGCCCGCGCTCTGCTGAGTGCACAGCCATGGATTCTCCCAGGTTCCTGGTCTCCCGCTCCTGCCCTCTGCAGGAGCCCCAGCAGCTGGCTGCCATTTGCTGGTGTCTTCTGAGAGCGAGGCAGCATATTTAAATGGAGGACTTAACGGTGAGACTTAATCGGCCTTCACTCCTGTTTGGTTAAGTTGTTGCTCCGATGCTGAGCTCACCGGTGAGATGGAACTCTAGTTTTCCTCCTTCTGCTCAGCAGGCTGCAGGCCCTGCTGTTCTAGGACACACTCCAGCTCCACAGGTGGGCGAGAGGCACCTGACCCCTCCCAGACCGCCCCCAGGGGAGCCTCCTGGCAGTGGCAAACCATTAGGCAGCTCCCAGAGCTGTTTCTCTTGGCTAGAGCCCATCCACATTGGCTCCCAGCCTGGATGCCCTTCCAGCCCGCACCTACTTGCAAGCTGGGGCTTGGGCTCCTCCAGGAAGCCTTTCCTGAACACCTCCTCCAGGAAGCCTCTCCTGAATACCCTGGGCTCTCTTGGCACTTTGGGCCCTGTTGGCATCTTTACTGATCTGAACTTCAGCAAGGCTAGAATACCATGAGCTGGCTTGCTAGGGCTGACCTAACAAGACAGCACAGTGGTGGCTCCAGGCATGTCTCCCAGTTCTGGGGGATGGACATCTGAGGCCCAGGTGTGGGCAGGCATCTCTCCTGGGCCAGTGGCTGGGTGCCCTCCCGCTCCTCCCTCCCCTGGCCACCCCACCGCCCTGGATCTCAGATTTCCTGGGAGGACCCCAGTCACCTGGGTGAGGAGCATCTAACTGCCAGTCATGGCACCCCGAGGGAGTAGGGGACCCAAACGTACAGCTGGAGGGGTAGAACCCAGTCCTCACCCCATTGGGCTGCCAGCCCCGGTCAAGGGCCCTGGGCTTGAATGAGCAGTCAGTACTGGATCCTCCCTGGTGATGGGGGGGCAGCCACTTCCGCGCCCCTTCCCCCTGCCGCCACACTGGAGCCCCACGCAGGATGTGCTACCCGAAGCTGCTCGCTCGACACTTCGGGATCCTTACAGGATCACACTGCGATGGCCCACCGTGTCTGTGAGCTTGACGGAGTGCCTTTGGCTGTCTGGGCAGGTGTTGGTGAGGAGATGTGCATGGGAACTGGCAGAGTAGCGTGCACCCAATGTGGGTGGCCTTGTGGTGGTTCCCCTGGTTGGGGGGGGGGCTCCTGCCGGCTGCCTGGAGCCTTTTCCACCTCCAGATTACACTGGAGCACCGGCTCCTCCTAGATGGGGGCTCCCTCCCCCCCTCCATCTCCTGGCAGCTCACTCCTTATGGGATCCGCCAGTCGCTGGCAAGGCAAGGTCTTCTGTGGTTAATCAGGGTGAGATTCCCATGGACTTTCCTGCCCCGGCTGGCTTCGAACCCCTCCTGAGTAGCTAGGATTACAGGTGTGAGCCAGTGGTGCCTGTCTTTCTTAAGAACTTAAGTGTTTGTAAGACCTTCAGGGAGAATGGCCGTCTGGAGGGTGCTTCTCTCCTGGCCGCTGGGCACCAGCCCCCTGGCGCACGCACGTCAGTCTCCTGCTCCTGTTCCTGCTCTTTCCTTTCCTCCTCCACCTCTCGGGTTCAGGTCTGCAGCCTCCTACTGCTCAGACGGCTTGGGCACTGCCACCTTTTTCTTCCAAGTGATGATCTTCCTCTAACAAACTTCTCTATGTGCTGCTTTCCTTAGCACTTGATGATGTGCTCTAATTTCCTTTTCTTCCTTTGACCCAAGTTATTAAGATTTCTGTAAGCACGGATCTCCCTAGCTCTTTGATACTGATATGTACCTTAGTTTGACCATGGCCAGAAAACACGTGTATGACTTGACTTTAATCCTCTGATTAGGGGGTGGAGGGGCTGGGAAGGTGGCTCAGGGGTCAAGTGCTGGCCTACCATGCGTGAAGCCTTGGGTTCGATTCCTCAGTACCACATACACACAAAAAGCCAGAAGTGGCGCTGTGGTTCAAGGGGTAGCAGTGATAGCCTTGAGCAAAAGCAGCTCAGGGACAGCGTCCAGGCTGTGAGTTCAGGCCCCGGGACTAGCAAAAGAGAATTATTATTACAAAATTTTGACTTGGGACACAGAGCAATGAGCAATTTTGGTTAAGTGGAAACAGGGCCTGAACACAGGACCTGGTGGGTTTTTACCCTCCCTCCCCCCCTTCGGTCCCATGGATTCTGCCTCCACACACTGGCCTGTCCCTGCTCTGCCCCCGTCTCTGGCTTACGTTCACATGGGAGACCTCCCAGACTGCGCTCCGTCCTTTCACCCCAAGACGCTTCCACACCGGCAGAGCACCCCTGGCCCTCAGCACTGCACAGCGAGCAGGTCCTGGCCACAGCTACAGGCTCAGGCACTTGGAAGGCAGAGGAAGGGCGACTGCAGTCCAAGGCCAGCTGGGGCCACAGTGCAAGACTCCATCTAAACACCAAATGGCTTCGTGTGCCCTCAAGCATGAGGTCCTGAGCTCCAGCCCCAGCACCGACAAGAGCAAAGAGGGAGCTGGTTAAAGATTCAGATACACTGTAGAAGATAAGCCAAAATTCTATTGGTAAAATGGCACACAGTACTTTACCTAAAACCCCAAGTAAGTTGTACAAAAATGCATGAGAGGAAAACAGCCATATTGTAGGCTGACATTTTGCAGATGGAGCTTCTGACTTTGCATGTGCAGGCCGACACAGCTGAAATGATCAGAACCTTGGACAGCACCAAGGCCCGCTGTCCCTCACATGAGTTACCAGGCCTTGCATTTAAGACCTGTTCTAGCTCTACTGTTTCACAGGTAAAGGGCTTCCTTCACAGGGAGGACTACGTGCAAACATTTAGAGCTTTCTTCCTGGCGTCTAGGATGAAAGTCAAAGGACAGTGAAAACCCACATCCCACCTTTCCAAACGACACACTTGGTGGTTCTGTGCGGAGCCAGGAGGCACACAGACAGACCCGCTGCACAGCCCTGGGGCTGTGCAAACCCATGGCTCTCAAGTCTTGCCCATTGTTGAACCAGCACAAAAGAGCCATTCTGCCGACACTGGGATTCATTTCCAAGCACAAGCTTTTCTTCTGCGCCTGCCACAATGAGGCAGGCTAAAGGCTTTGCCAGTTTGCTCTTGGAAACAATACGCTCAACAAAACTCGCTGGGACCATTCTGGCTCTTTACAAATTTTGCAAGGCTGGCCTGCTTTCTTCCCTTCTAAAGGCTGACTGAGGGGCGGTTTAATCCTCTGCAGCATGTAAAACACGGCTCTCGACGCCGCAGGCCCACTGCGGACACAGCGGGCTGTGTGTCCAGGCTCTCGACGCCCTGGGGAACCAGAGGGAGCCACAATGCAGCCATCAGCGTGTTTCCACCGCACGGGCCCCACTTCCCCGCCGGGACACACAGCCACGCCCAGGCCCCTCTCACAAGGACTTACTTGTGTTTGTTATTACACGGCGCACAGCGACATGTCTGACTCCAATGGTGTGCACACATCCATTGAGGGGAAGAAAGAATGCCCACTGCAGACTCCTTCCAAGGAGAAAGGGACCCTGCTGTTTGCTTTTGGGCAGTCCTCGATGGAGAGGACAGGGTTTAACTCTTTGTGCCCCAGAAGGGAACGTCTTCTACGTGCATTTTAATGTAACAATGACTTCTCTACAGACCAAACTTCACAAGGCAGTCACACACAGACTGACCACGGGGGCAGCACCTGGTGTTTCTTTCGCTACAGCCTACCGGAGATGACCCATGCAAAGCCGCTGCCCCACCCCCACAGCTCACCTGATGCTATTCTTGAAGCACTACAAATGGCGACAAAGAAACTCAGAAGCACTGCATTTTGGAGTAATCATTTTTTGTGGGTGTGTACTAGTCCTGGGGCTTGAACTCAGGGCCTGGGCTCTGTCCCTGAGCTTTTGTGCTCAAGGCTAGCACTCTACTGCTTGAGCCACACTCAACTTCCAGCATTTTGTTAATCAACTGGAGATCAGAGTCTCATGGACTTTGCTGCCCAGGCTGGCTTCAAACTGTCATCTTCAGATCTCAGTCCCCCAAGTGGCAAGGTTTACAGCTGTGAGTCACTATTTTTGTAAAATGTTTGGTTGCGGTTTCACTGGTTTTTATTTTGGAAGGTTCAGTGGCATGAACTCTATGGGCATTTTAGTCTAGAACATGGTTGTCCAAGAAGATAGATGTGCTAAGCACTCCGTGCATGATTTATTAATGATCTGAAGGTTGGAGTTGTGTGCCCAGTCCAGTGCCATCTCTGACACAGTAAAACTGCATCTGCAGCTGCAGCAGAGCTGGGAGATGGGGCTGTTCCGCCGACCAAGATTCAAGGGCCCTTCACTGCCTTGCCACCACACCCGGTCCCAGAGAACCCTTCCTCCCTCTGCTGGAAGGCAGGCCCCCGAGCCCTCTCACCCATTCCCAGTCCCTGCTACATTCTAGAGCCGGGCTCAGTGACAACAAAGTGCCTAAGAAGGAGGCTCTCGAATTAATTACCTGGAAATGAGTCTTGTCAATGTTCCGGCAAAGAGAAGGGAGAAAGGGATTGTGAGAATCAATCAAAGTGAGAAAGGGCTTTCACAGTCCCCAGAGTTCAGAAACCTTGCTGAGCAGAGGGGACTCAAAGGAGTGGAGCTCACAGAATCCAGGCAACTGTTCCTGTCTTTGCCAAACAGGGGCTGTGCCCTCAGAGACGTTTATTATTTGCTGCACAGTGAATACAATGATTAGCACAGAAGCACACATCTACGGCAGGCGGGGGAAGCGGGGACACCCTTGCGGAGGAAGGGGAACGCGGGGACTTGTACCTACGACACTCAGTCCCAAATCCGTACTTCTACTTCAAACACGGCACGTTTGCGTACTAGACCATGAAACATCCACAAGCCAGGTTCTGAAACTTCACGTGCCTGGACAGAGAGGCCACTCACTGAGGAGAAAACAGAAACAGAACCACAGATCGCATTACAAATGGGAATCTGTGCACACCATCAGATGCAGGGAAGCAAGCGCAGAGCTCCAGCGGCGTCTGGGCACTGGGGAGCGCGCATCATGCCGGGCATCGGTTCTTTTAACCGTGGAGCACATTAGCTACCTTGTAAAGAGAACATGATTTCCTTCAGGAACTTGGTTTTGGACTACACAAACATTTTGCAACTTTTCCCCCTTTTTGTCCAGCAGGGGTTTGAAATTTTAACTTGCAAGCAAGCGAACAGTAGCATAAATAAAGCCTGCACAGGAAGTCGCCTGCAGTCCTCCACTCGGTGCTGTAACCGTGGTAGCCATGCAGCGGGACGCGTCCTCCTGGACCTGCAGGGCTGGGGAGGACAGCCCTCGGGACACTTACCGGTGGGGGGGCGTCACCAGTAGACTTCAGAATCAGCTTCCCCCCCTGCTTTTCCACTTCAAACCCCATTTTCTTCAGTAGGGACGTGTCGGCGAGGCCCTGGTCCTCCATCTTGGCAATCAGATCCTGGTTGCGGCTGTTGTCTTCGGTGAGGTTTCGGACAGCATACACCACCCACTGCATCAGAACTGAGCCAGGGTGAAGGAACTGACAACGTGCGATTACACAAGACAGAGAGGAGCAGCCGGAGCACCGCCCATCAGTGATTGCGGATGATGCATGCTATGAACACGCACCGGAGTGGAAAGCGCTCTACATACGGTCTCTGGGAGCTCAGGAGCAGAGAGACCAGGGGCCGAGGCTCATGACACGAGGCTGCACTGGGTTAGTTATATCGAGAACCAGGGAAAGACCCCAGAGAGGTGAGATCAGGCTGGGGCAGGAGAGCTTCCTTCTTGACTTAGCCCAGTCCCAGCAGGACCGGCTCCTGCGAGGCCCACACGCATTCCCCTTGTCCAGTGCTACAGACAAAGCCCGCACCTGCCCTGCTTCTAGTACCCTTGCTGCTCTCCCTCCTGCGCACTGAGAGTCCTGTACACCGGCCCCAACCAGCGGGGTGTCTGTCGGGGCAGGTGGGCTGGGCTGTGGAGGACAGCATGGTGTCTGTAGGGGCGGGGCAGGCGGGCTGGGCTGTGGAGGACAGTGGGGTGTCTGTAGGGGTGGGGTGGGCTGTGGAGGACAGCGGGGTGTCTGTAGGGGTGGGGTGGGCTGTGGAGGATAGCGGGGTGTCTGTAGGGGTGGGGCAGGTGGGCTGGGCTGTGGAGGACAGCAGGGTGTCTGTAGGGGTGGGGCGGGCGGGCTGGGCTGTGGAGGACAGCGGGGTGTCTGTAGGGGTGGGGGAGGCGGGCTGGGCTGTGGAGGACAGCGGGGTGTCTGTAGGGGTGAGGTAGGGCAGGCGGGCTGGGCTGTGGAGGACAGCGGGGTGTCTGTAGGGGTGTCTGTAGGGGTGGGGCAGGTGGGCTGGGCTGTGGAGGACAGCAGGGTGTCTGTAGGGGTGTCTGTAGGGGTGGGGCAGGTGGGCTGGGCTGTGGAGGACAGCGGGGTGTCTGTAGGGGTGGGGCTGGGCTGGGCTGTGGAGGACAGCGGGGTGTCTGTAGGGGTGGGGCAGGCGGGCTGGGCTGTGGAGGACAGCGGGGTGTCTGTAGGGGTGGGGTGGGCTGTGGAGGACAGCGGGGTGTCTGTAGGGGTGGGGCTGGGCTGGGCTGTGGAGGACAGCGGGGTGTCTGTAGGGGTGGGGCTGGGCTGGGCTGTGGAGGACAGCGGGGTGTCTGTAGGGGTGTCTGTAGGGGTAGGGCAGGTGGGCTGGGCTGTGGAGGACAGCGGGGTGTCTGTAGGGGTGGGGCAGGCGGGCTGGGCTGTGGAGGACAGCGGGGTGTCTGTAGGGGTGTCTGTAGGGGTGGGGCAGGTGGGCTGGGCTGTGGAGGACAGCGGGGTGTCTGTAGGGGTGGGGCTGGGCTGGGCTGTGGAGGACAGCGCGGTGTCTGGCAGGGCTGGGCTGGGCTGCGGAGGACAGCGCGGTGTCTGGCAGGGCAGGCGGGCTGTGGAGGACAGGCCTACACTGGGGTTCAGGGAAGATGACAGAGAACCCAAGCTGGAATAAACACTTCCCTAAAGACAGAGACCTCCCTGCCACGACCGATACAGGCGAGTCCTTTTCCTCAGAGTTCCCACACTCCGCTCAGTATCCCAACTCCAGAACTGGGCACTTGGCTCCTCCAAAGGTGTCGGACCCCTTGGCCAGTCAGCCTCTGCGCCTGCACTGGAGCGTGGCTGGCTCTGAGGTTCCTACCCTCCCCACTTCCGCCCCCCCCAAAACAATGGCACAGCTCCCACACCTCACCCGAGCAGCCAGAGGTGTCATGGAGCTGCTGGCTCTGCCTCTGCTCTGACTGGTTCACAGAAAATAATAAAAACAGAACTTGCTCCCTACAGGCTGCAGACAGCGAAAGCGGAGGAGCTGCAGGTTCAGCTTTGTTTGGCTGTACTGGGGCTCGAACTCAGGATCTAACGCTTGCTGGCCAAGTTCTCCACCATTTGAGTCTTTCAGTCCATCTCTCAGGCCAGATCTTTTTTTTTTTTTTTTTGTAAACCACAACCCACTAAATGAATGAGAACGTTTTTTGGTAGTATGGGAGTGTGAACTAAGGGCCTCACGCTCACTAGGCTGACGTGAACTAAGGGCCTCACGCTCACTAGGCTGACGTGAACTAAGGGCCTCACGCTCACTAGGCTGATGGGAACTAAGGGCCTCATGCTCACTAGGCTGACGGGACACTCAGGGCCTCATGCTCACTAGGCTGATGGGAACTAAGGGCCTCATGCTCACTAGGCTGACAGGACACTCAGGGCCTCATGCTCACTAGGCTGATGACACTCCAGATCTTGATCTTGGCCTTGAACCAGGATCCTCCCACCACTGCACGCTGTTCCCAGACCGTCATGCCCGGGTCTGCTTCTGATCACTGCGTTACCAGCGGCTGGGCCAGCTCCCAGCACAGGGCTGGGCTCGCGTCTGTGGGCCTGGGGCCTGCACACAGCCTGGCACAGACAAGAGGCCCCGCTGGCACTGCTGAGTGGCCCGCCCGCTGGTCTTGGAGGGTTTCTTGCTGAAACCACCGTGGTGTGGGTGTAGGGTTCCAGAGGCACAGCGCAGGCCTGGCCCCACCTGGGGTGTGGGTCCGTCCTTGGCTGCGCCTGACGGGGCCCAGCCGACCTCTGTCAAGCCTCCCCCTCCTTTATGAGGCTTTTTCTTCCCCGAGGCCGAATCGCTACACCCCATAAAGCCTACGTTCAGGTCTCCCTCGCTCCTCACTCCCTGAACCTCTACTTGGTGCCAGCACAAAAACAAAAACAACTCCCGGTGTCCGACACTTCCAGCACCAGTGCATTTCTGAAAAGCCAAATTATGTGTGGCAGCTGCTTTCGCACCAGGACAACACAATCATCACACGATTCATGTTCTCGCCGTGGAGGAGGGAACGGAAGCTGGTGAGAACCGTCTGGAAGAGACCGCCGCTGAGGCTGGGCTCGGTGGGCGCCTGGTTCTGCACAAGACTCCAGAACCAGAACGACTTCTACTTCCTGAAAGGCCCTGGCTGTCCACACAGAGGTAACCGAAAGCCAACAGACTCCCACAACCCGCGGAGAGCGCCCGGAGCCCACGCCAGCGGCGGTGCCACCGCACTCCCTGGAGGGAGCATCTTCCCGCCCTGCGGCCACGCCCGCCCGCCAGGCCTCGGCCACCAGGCTCGGCAGCACGGCCGGCAGCACGGCCCTTACCCTCTGTCCGCCTGGCAGCACAAGGCATTCTCCGCAGCACGACTGACAACTGGCACCATGCACGCAGTCCTGCGTCTGAACCCCAGCCAGAGCTGCAGCACCTGCTACAGGCTCCCGTCCGGGAGTCCCCTCGCTAACCGTGCTCACCACTCTCCGCGCGCCTGTGTGCTCCTCACGGGCGGGTGGAACCAGCCCACCGCCCAGGGCCAAGCTCAACCCCCGACTGCTGCAACTCTGCACTCTAGCTTCCTACCTGCCCACCTGCCCTCTGTCCTACAGCGTGGGAAATGTGGGAGGGATGTGGAAGGCCAGGGTGCTACCACAAGGGGCGTGAGCCACACCCGCAGGCTGCTCTGCCCCTGTGGTGGACGCACCTGGCCAGGCAGCGGATGGCGGGAGAGGGCAGGCGCCCCCACGGTGCAGCTCCAGCCCGGGTGCGCACGGGAAGGCGGCTGCGGTCCCCAAGGCCCACGCTGCCAGCGGCTGCGGCCCCCTGGCCCACACTGCCGGCGGCTGCGGCCCCCCTGGCCCACGCGGCCGGCGGGGAGCTCTGTTGGCACGTCCTGACGGTTACTGTCAGCTCCCCCCGACGTGCTCAGCAGCTCACACCTCTGAAGCGAGGCGCACACAGGGGACTCGAGCGGCAGGGTGGAGAGGAGGGGCTGTGCACTGGCCAAAGCCCGCCACCGCAGCCTCACCCTCCCACGCCAGCAAGCCCTGGACCCAAGACACACACGCGACAGGCAGGCATCCCGACGTCTCCCCAAATGTATCCAATAGCAGCGGTGCGCCCGCCCGCGCCAGTGCCGTCACTCACGCGTGTGCCTGACACTCACTCACGTTCTCCCCAAGGAGAACCCAACAAGGAGCCCCTCCAGCCCGCGGGCAGACAGGAAGAGTGCCCGTTGCCCTGTGCGAGCACCAACAGCTGGGGTGCGACCCCCCCCCCCCCGGAACAAACACTGCTCAGGGTCCTCTGGCTTGCTCTCATTTCAAACATCGAGACGGGCACACTGTCCAGAGTTTAAGTATAAAATTCAGTTTTTACAGTTGTTAATATACATACATGTGCGCGCGCGCACACACACATGCACACACACACGCATGCGCGCGCGCACACACACACATGCGCGCGCGCACACACACACACACACACACACACACACACACAAAGGTTTTTTGCCTTTACTCGGTGTTCAGGCCCTATTTCTTTCTTTTTACTCTTTATTTGTGGTAAGGAAGTTCCCGCCCAAGACCAATATGGTTCAGATCACTGTGGTGCCCCACGCACTTGGGAATTCCACTGGTGTCTGGAGTCCAGGCTGGCCTCAAACTTGCGATCTTCCTGCCTTAGCTTCCTGAGTGGGAGAGCTTATGTTAACCTTTGAACTGATATGTAAGAACAAACAATTGGTACAAACTTGTGAAGCATGCACCCCGTGGCTCACACTGCATGAGGCTGGATGCGGGCGAACGCCTCCTGGTCTCCCACCCTGAGTGCACCTCCACCTCCATCTCCCCATGGGCACATCACAGGGCTTCTCGCTCCACCCCTCTGGCTCTACCTCCGCCACTCCATACCCAGGCACCCAAGAGCAAAAGCAAAGAGCAAGAAAAGGTACCTTTCCACCAAGTGTGGGTTGAAAAGAGAAGCTCTGGGAAGTGCGGCCCTCCAGACCTGGTGCCGGCTCTGGAGTATGTATGGGCTCCGTGCGGGCTGAGAGGCTGGGCTGCCAGTGCAGACCGAGCACTCTCCAGGGCCACAGGGAGATTAAAGGCACTTCCAGTGATGTGCACACTGCCCTCTTGTTCCCTCTGAAGAGACAGGGAGCAAGAAAGAGCTGGGGAG